ATGTTGAACAATTTTTTGTATGTTTATTTGCTCCTATTACATCTTTGTCTGAGAAATGTCTGTTCATTTCAGATGCCCAATTTTGAATGGGCTGTTTATATTTAGGGGTCTGATTCTTTTGAGTTCTTTATATATTCTCTCTCTCTCTCTATATATACACACATATACATACATATATATAACATTTATACCTCTTTGGCAGCTGTATAAAGGAAGGGTGTTTGGAAACAGACCAGTCAAGCAGGAAGCTTTTCTGTAGTACAGATACCAAGGTAACAGATTAGTACAACAGTGGTGAAGGTAATTTACTAACATTGAGCAATGCTTTAAATCCATTTATATTACTAACTTAAGTGATTTATATTTTAGTAATTCTAGCAGCAGTAGCATATATTTGGAAAAGTGATAGCTAAGCAGCTAATTGAGTAAGTAAGATACATTGATCATTCTATGTTATGGGGTGATGTTTAGGGTGCTCATGGGTTTGCAGTTCTTTTTTTAAAAATTTAATTCCCAGAAGTTTGTACACCCCTAGTTACAAATAAGGTTTACTTCAGACTACAGCATACACTCTTACCAAGTATGTTGTACCACTTATGGCTTTAAATAGTTTATTCAAGAGATATTTTCTGAGCTGGGCACAGTGGTGAACACTTTTAATCCCATTGCTTTGGGAATCTGAGGCAGCAGGATTGCAAATTCGAGCCCATCCTGGGTATTGTAGCAACTTAGTGAGATACTGTCTCAAAAAAAATCAAAACGTGCTGGGGATGTAGTTTGGTGTGAAGACCCTAGGTTTGACCCCCAGTACTTAAACACTCCCCAAAACAAAAATCAGCAAGTTTTCTGAGAATTTACACTGTTCAATGCTCAGAGTATACAGTTGGGAAGAAGTTATTTTTCATCAAGCTTAGTTCTATTGGGGATTATGGTTAATAAGTAAATATGTAGATAAACAATATAATTTTAACTAGTGAAGGATAAATTCTGGGAGATAATAGAGAAGGGAATGGGAGTACATGAGAGGGAGGCAGGTGATATTTATGCTATCTTTGAGCATCTGAGAGATGAAGTATGAATCATGAGATGAACAGTGGGAATGGTGTTTGAGAGATGTAATAGCAAAAGTAGAGGCATCAAGAAAGGTACAAACGGGCCAGGGATGTAGCTCAACTGCACAATGCCTTCCTGGCAAGTGTGAGACCCTGAGTTTGATTCCTTGTACCAAAAAAAGGTACAAACAGATATATAAGAGAAGTAGTGAAAAATATAAAAGTCATCATCAGCAACAACAAAAGAAAGGTACAAGCTTAGAGGACCAGCAAGAAGACAGTAGCTGACTCATGAGCTGGGAGAGAACAAGTGGAGAAGTTACCATTTTAGAGTCACAAATTTACTATTTAAACATTCTGGATTCTGCAGATTTATTTTCCTATAGATGATCTGGTGTGTCTAGAGACATTGTACTGTTTTCCATTCTTTTTTTTTTGGTACTGGGCATCGAACTCGGGTCCTTGTGCTTGCTCAGCAGGTGACCAAACCACTGAGCCAAATGCCCGGCCCAACATTGTACTGTTTTATCACATGTTATCTGTCTGTGTATGTATGTATATGTATTTTTTTGTATGAAAGGGCATTTGTGTTCCAGAAAGGATTGACACTTAAATTTATTTAATACATCTTTTGCTGCATTATAGGTATATACTTATAACAGCACGTCTTTCGAAAAGTAATAAAATAAGTTATTGTATCTGTTAAAAATTTTAGTAAAAATCATTTGAGGCTGAAACATCAGATTATGGAAATAATGAAGTTTTTTATTTAAAAAAAAACTTTGGGGGCCGGGGATTTAACTCAGTGGTTCTGGTGCCTGCCTCAAAAGCACAAGGTCCTGAGTTCGATCCCTGGTACCAAAAAAAAAAATTGGGGGGCTAGGGATTTAGCTCAGTGGTTTTACCGCCTGCTGCGCAAGCTCGAGGACCCGAGTTCGGTTCTCAGTACCAAAAAAAAAACTCTTTGGGAGTCTTAAATCAGTCTTTCTATAAATAAAGTTGATTAGAATTAAAACCTTTAATCCCAATATTTAAGACTAAAACCAATTGAGCAGAAGAGATTAAAATTAATATAAAAGGTAAACAGATTGACAATTATATTTAATAGATATAAACAGAAATATTCCATTCCATAGTTTCTTTTTGTTTGTTTTTTTTGAGATAGGGTCTCACTACATAGTTCAGGCTGGGTTTGAACTCACTGTTTAGCCCAGGCTGGCTTCTCTTTCTTCTCTCTAGGTATTGTGGGGGACTCAATGTCTCTTTAACAGTTTGACAGGTTGAAGATTAATTTCTTTTTCTTTTTTTTTCCTTTTTAGAGACAGGGTCTTGTTATATAGCCCAGACTGGCCTCTAACTCATGGGAGTCCTTCTGCCTCAGCCTCCCAAGTGCTGGGAGTACAGCATGCGCCACCATCCCTGGCAATTTCTATGCAAAGTGCTGAGGCATTAAGAATAATATATAAGCTGGGTGGATATCACAACCTACATTGAACCTTTTCCTCTCGGAAACTCTTACTTCTTAGTTTTTGCCTGTTCCCCATTCTCCTCTTTGATTTCTGACTTCTTTGACTCAGTTTTCATCTGACCTATGCCTAGCCTTACTAAAGTTGTTTTTTATTGTTTTTTGGGGTAGCCTTACTAAAGTTTTTTTTAATTGTTGTTTTTAGGGAATTGAACCTAGGACTTTTGCTACATGTTACATGCCTAGCCCTTTTTATTTTTTAAATTTCAAGACAGAGTCTTCATAAGTTGCCTCTGTTGGACTCAAACTTGAAACCCTCCTGCCTCAGCCTTTCATGTATCTGGGATTACAGGCATGTGCCACTGTGCTAGGCCTTACTAAAATTTTGATTTTTTTTTTTTTTTTTTTTTTTGAGACAGGGTCTCACTGTGTAGTTCAGGCTGGCATTGAACTGTGTAGCCCAGGCTGACCTTGAACTCACAGCAATCCTCCTGCCTCAGCCTCCCAAGTGCTGGGATTACAGGTGTGTGCCACCATGCCCAGCTATTTTCTTTTTTCTTTTTGGTACAGGGATGGAACTCGCCCAGCTATTTTGATGTGTTTTACTAATCATTTTCAGACAAACTTTGCTGCAGTTTTTTTTTTTTGTACTGGGAATCAAACTCAGGACCTTGCACTTGGCAGGCAGTCACGGCGCTACTGAGCTACATCCCTGGCCCACCAACTTTGTATTGATTACAGAATATTCTATGATCTAGTCCTCTAGTTAATTATAAGAAGACCAACTTACAGAGTGGTTATACATTTTAAATTTGTTTTCCCTCTTTACTGTCTTAAAATAGTTTAATATTTGTCAAGTATTTTACAGTTTTATATTCAGTACTGTGGTAAAATAATGTGTATTTCACGTTATATATTGTGTGGTTGGTGAATATTTAAGTATGATAGTCATAATTTTTAGCTTTCTAAAAATTGAGATGAAATTCCTGCATTTATTTAATGACCTTTGTATATTTTAATACAGTAGGGCTACTATAATGCAATTTACAAATTTTCTACAAACTACCAAGGAGTCAGGAGTTATGTGTTTCTGTGTATCATTGGCGTTTATAGAAAACTATTAGAGGATAATGTGCAGTTTTCTCTGTTTTGAGAATTAGTGTCATGACCACCATGTTCTGCTTGTGCTCTGCCTTAAATGGAGGCAGCTAACTGCAACCTTAGTTTGCATTCACCTTGAGCTGAGCGGTTTTCATCCTATGTGTTGGGTGGTTGAGTGAAGATTGCGCGTTTAAAGTTGAGATCACGTGTGCTTAGCGTTTCAGCAGGAGCTGGATGCAAGGCATGACAAATATGAGAGACTAGTGAAGCTCAGCCGAGATATAACTGTTGAAAGCAAAAGGACAATTTTTCTCCTCCATAGGATTACAAGGTGAGTACACCTTTTCAACATTTGTTAAATATTTTAATAAAAACAAGAGGAAAAATTCTTACTTGTGGAGTAGTTAGGGATTTTATGTTGTGTTATCATTATGGTATAGCTGTTGTTTGAAAAAACCATTAAATTTTGGGCTGGGCATGGGGGCGTACACCTGTAATCCCAGCACTTGGGAGGCTGAGGCCGGAGAATTGCAGTGAGTTCAAGACCAGCCTGTATTACATAGTGAGTTCAGGGCCAGCCTCAAATAATAGCAAGACCCTATCTCAAAAAGCAAAAACAAAAAAAAATAAGATAAAATATAAAATTAAAATTTGTATTATTAAAAAAATTTGGATTGTTAGAGCCTATTACATTAAATTTTTTGTTTTGTTTTGTTTTTTTGATACCAGGGATTGACCTTGGGACCTTGGGCTTGTGAGGCAGGCGGCAGAACCACTGAGCTAAATCCCCGGCCCACATTAAAGTCTTACTTGGGTGATATATGTGAAAATTTTAATACTAGATCAATATTGAAATCTGGTTAATTGTTCATTTTTCAGCTCATTGTGTTCTTTCTGCATCTTAACTATTGAAATTGTTCATGCTACTTTTTCATATCATTAAGTCTTGTGTACACTCTGTTGTTATTTTACATTTTACAATGCTGTTAACTGCCTAATTTCTCTTTGGAAGCTGCTCTTCTTTCATCTTTGTGACATTCTTTTTCTTGTATTTTCTCTTACTAGCACTAGACTGTCTTATTTTTCCAGGCAGTCTGTCTGTATTTGTTTTTGTTTTTGGTACTGGGGATCGAACTCGAGTCCTTGTGCTTGCAAAGCAGGCGGCGAAACCACTGAGCTAAATCCCTGGCCCTTGTCTGTCTATATTTGATAGATGGTCTTTTTTTTTTTTTTTTTTTTTCGGTACCAGGGATTGAACTCATGACCTTGCACTTGCAAGGCAGCCACCAGAACCACTGAGCTAAATCTCCGGCTAGATGGTCTTGACTACAAGTAAAAGAAACTACCTTAAACTCTTTGATATTTTATTGTCTTCTTTCTTTGCTTTGTTCTTATATCTCATGTGACCAGCTTCCATTGCTTCTCTATTCCCTGTGGGATAGAAGGTGTCTGCCCTCAACTCCCCAGCTCATTTGTCTAGGTCTTTCTCCCAAAAGATTCCACTTAAAATTCCAGGTGCCTTCAGAGATGTGGCTGTGATTTGCTTTGCACCACATATTCATTCAGTAACTTCAAACTTTTTTTTTTTTTTTTTTGGGTTTTTGAGTCAGGGTCTTACTGTGTATATCAGTCTGGCCTTGAACTCACTGTATAGCCCATGCTGGGCTTGAACTTGCAGGGATCTTTCTGCCTCAGACTCTTGCCTATTGGGATTATAGGCATGTACCACCACTCCTGGCCTAAGACTTGTTGTTTTGGTGCTAGGAAAGGAACCCAGGGCCTTGCACATGGTAGGTAAGCACTCTGCCATGAACTACAGTAGTACTTTGGTTCACGAATTGAATTATTTCCATGATTCTGGTTGGAAACCAAGTTGGATGAGGACCAAATAAAATTCGATGGTTGGCTGCAATGTTGACCTAATGAGGAAATTTGATTTAGTTCTTGTCCAGTTCAGTTTGCACCCAGAATCTCGTGAAGAATTAAGTTTGTGAACCAAGGTAGGTACCACTGTATACCTCCAGCTCTAACTTAAAATACTTCAGATAATTCTCTAGTCTACTTTAATTTTTATTTCATTAAGTGGAAGCAATTTACCATACATAGATTTATTGGAATGTGACACTTGTTAGCCTTTTCTTTTACTTTTTTTGCAGAATTTTTAATCTGGTTTTTATTTTTTAATTTAAAGAAGTTTTGATAGTACCTTTGTAGTACATAATGATTACATTCATCATAGGGAGTTGGTACATGTACATAGCACATCATAATTCTTTTTTTTTTTTTTTTTTTGGTACCGGGGATCGATCTCCCTCCTTTTCTTCCTTACCCCTTTCCCTCTTTCTTTTGAGATAGGGTCTTGCTATATAGTCTAAACTGTCCCTGAACCCTCTATATAGCCCAGGCTGGCCTCAAACTTGTAATCACCCTGCCTAAGCCTCTTGAGTACTGCTGGGATTACAGGCTTGCACTACCAAGCCTGGTCCAGATATATCTTTCTGGTAATGATTTCTAATTTAGTTCCATTATGGTCAGAGAACATACTTTATTTTATGCTTTGAATCCTTTTAAATTTATGTATATATATTGTGTAATTTACTGATATATGTAGAATTTATTTTTTTGAGGTATGCTTTATTTTCATTCATTATATAAATTCAAATAACTTTCTATAATATCCCAAGGCAAACTGGGGAATTTGGCGGTCTGACTCGGGGGTTCCCTCAGAGACCCATAGACCGGTGGCATCTGTGCGGAGGGCCCAGGTTCATGGTGTAGTTTGTGGTTAGTGTCCTTCTACATCATGACTGGGGGTCTTGGAACCCTCTAGGCTCTCTTAACTCTGCCTTTCCTGCTCAGTGTTCTCTTTGGTCGCCAAGGTTTTCTTCTACATCTTGGTCTTCTTTAGCTCGGCCTTTCCTAACCTGGCTGTTTCCCCTACCTTTGGCTTTTCTGCCATTTTCTTAAAATAACGCAGTGTGTCTTACTCTGCGCCTGAGCTCCTGGTGCTCCCACTCGTGTTGCTGCAACAAGAGACTGAGACATGCTTTTTGTCAGGCAGTGGGGTCTGTCTGGTAAATGTGTGTACTTTAGAAGAATATATATTTTACTGTTGTTGGATGGAGTGTTGTATAATGGAGTGTTCTATAAATATCAGTTAAATCAAATTGTAATGTTCAAGTCATCTATGTCCTTACTGATTTTCTGTATACTTGTTTTGTCAGGGTTTTTTTGTTGTTTTGTTTGTTTGTTTGTTTTGTCAGTTATTAAGAGAGAGTTGTTGAACTCTTGGATGTCATTGTGGACTTGTCTATTTTCCCTTGAGGTTCTTTTGTTTGTTTGTTTGTTTGTTTTTTGGGACATGGTTTTGAACTCACTGTTTAGCCCAGCCTGTCCTTGAACTCGTGGCTATCCTCCTGCCTCAGCCTTCCAAGTGCTGGAATTACAGGAGTGCGCCACCACACCTGGCCTGAGGTTCTGTTACTTAATTGTTTCATGTATTGTGAAGCTTTTATTATTATAATGGTATCCCTAGAAATAGTCTTTGCTCTGAAATTTGATAATAATATAGCACTCCTATTTTCTTTTGGTTAATGTTAATGAGGTACATGTCTTTTCATCATTTTATTTTTAATCTGTCTGTGTCTATATCTAAAGTGAATTTCTTGCTTTTTTTACTCCATTCTGATACACTCTGCCTATTAGTGTATGTGCTTACAATATTTGTACTTGGTGTGATTATTGATATAGGTAGAGTTAAATCTACCAACCATTTCTCTCTTTTTCTGCCTCATTTTGGATTTTTTTCTATCCCTTTTACCTTACTTTTTGACTTACTAGCTGTACCTTTCCGTTTCATTTTTGTAGTGGTGGCCTTATGGTGTGTAGCATACATCTTACCACCCTTAGCCATTCTCACTCACACAGTACTGTGTTAACAGAAACTCATGCAGATCAGAACCAAGACTCTGCTTTGGTTTGTTTGTTTTGAGACACGGTTTCACTGTGAAGTCTAGACTGGTCTTGAGACAGGATCTCCTATGTAGTCCTGGCTGGCTTTGAACTTATTATGGATCCCAGAATAGCCTCAAACTCATGGCAGTCCTCCTGCCTCAGCCTCCTAAGTGCTGGGATCATAGGCATGTGCCACCATACCTGGCCCATGACTGTATTGTTCTTTGTAGCAGTTTCTTTGCAAGCCAAAGTCACAGTGTTGAAGTGCACAAGTTTCAGTGAACACAGTGCCTTGCAAAGTAAGGACTGCTTGCACATCATTTCAAAGGTAGTGTAAGAACCTTATAATAGTATAAACTTCCTTTTTTATTTCTCTCCTGCTAGCCTAGTCTCTTGTGCTGCTGTTGTAGTTCATGTTCTATATTTGTTATGTCCTAACAGTACATTACAGTATTATTTTTACTTTAAGCAACATGATTAAAAAAAAAAACTGGGTGTGGTGGCACTGACCTTTAATCCTAGCACTATGGGAGACTGAGACAGGACAATCACACGTTTGAACCCAGCCTGGACAACTTAGTGACTTAGCAAGACCCTGTCTCAAAATAAAAATAAAAAAGGGTTGGTATGGTAGCACATGCCTGTAATCCTATACTTGGAAGGCCGAGGCACGAGGATCACAGCAAGTTTGAGGCCAGCCTGGGCTATGTAGTGAGATTTCGTTTCAGAAAAAAATTAAGAGTAGGGATATGGCTTAGTGCAAGAGTCCTGGGTTTAATCCCCAGTACCACTTAAAAAAAAAAACCCAGACCAGGGATGTAGCTCAGTGGTGCTGCACCTGCCTCACAAGTGCAAGGTCCTAAGTTCCATCCCTGGTGCCAGAAAAGAAAAAGCCAGACATACATCCATGTAGTTATAGTTTCTGATGATGTTGCTTACCCTTTCTATATAGAGTGAAATTTCCATCTGGAATCATTTTACTTTTGCCTAAAGAACTTTCTTCAGTGTGTTTTATAGTGCAATTCTGCTAGTGATGGATTAGCTCTTTGTGGTTCTGTAAGCTGTAGGAATTGCTCTTCCTACTTGGGGCGGGATCTCTTTCCAGCCTGTTTACTCACATGCCTGCTGCAGTGATCATGTTCAGCCAAAGACTGGAGGGAGTCTCTTGAGTAGAACTCTGACATGCTTTTTCTATAGTTTTCTCCCCACTGTTATTCTGCCTTGCACATTTAGTTGTCTTGCCCACTCCCAAGTCGTTGTTTTCAACTCAGGCAGACTTCAGGGTCCATCTGTTTCCTGTCCTCACACCTTCACTTGGGAATGCCAAGCCATAAGATGGAACAGTCATAGGATGTGTGCACCCCTCTCTCATCACTGTTCATGCTACCTTAATCCAGTATCTGAAACCATTATTTTGTCTACTTATTTTATCTGTCTAGTTGTTTAAAGTGGGAGGATAAATCTATTCCATGTTACTCTATCTTGACTGAAAATAGACATCTAGAGATGTCATACTTTAATTGTGATCACTCTATACATGCAATTTTTGTGTATTTGTTTTTTTCACTTAACAGTGTGCTATAGCATTTTCCATGTTTTTACATACTACTAATAAAGTACAGTTATAGAGATAAGTTAGAAGTATCCAAATACAGGTACTTAATTAGTCCTATGTTGATAGATTATTTCAATTTTTCATTGTCAAAGCATCTGCCTGATGTTCTAAAAGTTCCCAATATCTTGATTATAGTGCACCTGATGTGGAAGAAATATTGACGGAGTCAGAAATTAAATTGGATGGTGTCAGACAAAAAATATTACAGGTAGCCCAGGAGCTGTCAGGTGAAGACATGCATCAGTTCCATCGAGCCATTACTACAGGTAAGTCTAGGTTCACTGAGTCTATTTCAAAGACATAATGGCTTCAGCCTTGTTACCTTTGCTACCTTCTGTGCGCCATGTTGTTTCTCCTCTGTGAAGCCTGTTTGCCATCTCTGCCTTGGAGCCAGCTGATTATGGACTGAAACCTCTACAAACTGTAAGCTAAATAAACCCTTTCCCCTTTAAAAAAAAAAGAAAGAAAGAAAGAAAATGGCTACATGACATATCTGAGTGGCGTGAGTTTTAATTGGTATCTGGTGAAATATGATTGGCTTTAAAAAAAACTTGGATTTTTAGGTAATGTATATGCATTTCAGAACATTCATTTGGTTTATTTTTCTAACAATATATATAGTAATTGCTTGATTTTATTTATTTACTTATTTATTTTTTGGTACCAGGGATTGAACTTAGGACCTCTCACTTGCCAGGCAGGCACTATGCCACTGAGCTACATCCTCGGCTTGCTTGATTTTAATAAAGTAATTGAGAACACAAGTCTAACAGATTGAATTTTCTTCATGAGTTTATTGAGTGTATTTACCTTTTTCATGGTTTTTTGTTTTTGTTTCTGTTTTTTTTTGTACCAGGGATCGAATTTGGGTCCTTGCACTTCTGAGTCAGGTGGCAGAACCGCTGAGCTAAATCCCCGGCCCTTACCTTTTTAACTATAAGGAAATCTTACTGATGGCTTTGAGTTTCCATTTTGCTAGGTTCATGAAAGAGGTGTCACCTAGCCATATGAACTCAAACAACTCATAGTGTAACTCTGTATCTGTTAGTATTGGGTTGTATATATTTGTTTAAAAAGGTTTACAGAGTGCTGGATCTTGTTTATCACAGGTTTTTTGTGGGTTTTTTGAATCATCTAAGTTATTTTATTGTTTTTAAAAGATTTTATTTGAAAAAATGGCCATATTTACAGTTGTAGAAAATGCTCATGAGAATACTTAAAGAATACAAAAATATGGAGTTGGGATATAGCTCAGAGGTAGAGTGCTCGTCTGCCATGTGAGGCCCTGAGTTGGATCCCCAGCACTGCAAAAAACCAAACCACACCAAACCAAACTAAACCAAACGTACAAAAATTATCACATTAACAAGGGGGTTACAAATTCAGCCATCAAACTCACTGTCATGTTTTGGAACCACCATATATTATTAACGCTACCATGAGACTCAAACAAGATTATTTAAGAAAAAAATGCTCTGACTAATATCCACTATAGACATTAGCTACAGGCCTTTAATTTTGTAGGACGAAAAGGTTTTCCTGTATTTACAACTGATTTGAAACCTGAAAATGGCAGTTATTAGCAGACTGCTGACATTTATCACAGTTTTCAGGTGCAAAATTCTTGGTTCTTCCCTCTTGATTTTTTTTTTTTTTTTTTGAGACAGAGTCTCACTAAGTAGTTCAGGCTGGCCTTGAACTTACTGTATAGGCCTGGCTGGCCTTGAATTTGCAGCAGTCCTCTTACCTAAGTGTTATGGTTTGTGTTTAGATGTCCCCCCAAAGCCTCATGCAGATGAGGTGGGACTTTCTTTTTCAGAGGCAGTTGAATCTGGAATGTGTGATGCTGGGGTTAAGGGCGTGTGATTACTAAACTACAACATGCAGTTTGGCATGGCCCTAATCCCGGTAGTCTGAATAAGATAAAAGGGGCAGGAAGATGCTGTTAAACTCTCGTTACCCTTTGCTACCTTGTGTGCGCCATGTTGTTTCTGCTCTGCCATGCCTGTTTGTCATCCCTGCCTTGGAGTTAGCCAATTACGGACTGAAACTTCTAGGAACTGTAAGCCAAATAAACCCCCTCCCCTCCAACTTTGAGTGTCAGGTATTTTGTCTCAGCAGTGAGAGAAAAGTAACTAACTCAGCGTCCTGAGTGCTGGGATTATAGGTGATTCTTGTTTTTTTTTTTTTAACCTGAGTTCATGGACAAGAGAGACTGTATAATTCAGATATATCCTCCCTAAGACTTGCAGGAAGAATGGAAATGTTCAATACTCCATATATATGTTCAGTTTTAGTCTAAATTCTTTTGCTTTTTTTTTTTTTTTTGGTACTGGGGATCGAACTCAGGACCTTGCACTTGTGTGGCAGGCGGTGGAACCACTGGGCCAAATCCCCGACCCTTTAGTCTAAATTCTTTTTTTTTTTGGTACCGGGGATTGAACTCAGGACCTTGTGCTTTCGAGGCAGGCACCAGAACCACTGAGCTAAATCTCCGGCCCCTAAATTCTTAAAATACCAGCACCTGCTTTTTGAAAATGCTGAAGTGTCTCAGAGTTGGTAATAGGAGGTCCCAGCATATTTGTTAAAGCATGGAGTACATTATTATGGACTGAGGTGGTAACTCTTACAGTTCTGTTGTAACAGTCTCATTGTAATAATTTATTATTGTCAAGTTTATTTGTTTTATAAAAAATAACAGACAAGAACAGACATGATTTAATGAATCCAATATGTATTGTCAAATGGTACCACTTCAAATATGACAAATTTGTTTAGGATGTGAAGACCAGATGTATTTGTGGAAAGAAGGGTAAAGTGAAAGCTAAATCAAGCTTCTGGAAGATTTATGGAAATATCTTCATATTTTCTCTTGTGGTAGAAAAGATTTCTTTAAAATGATAGAAAACATTAATTGTTAAAGAAAAAAATGGATCAACTAAATATCATTAAAATTAAATTGTTTATCACAAGACAAGTAAAAAAGCAAGCTAAAATGTGAGAGAAGACATTTAAAATATACATTAGATAAAGAATCCCTACAAATCAATAAAGAAACAATTTTAAAAATAAACAAAAATTTGAACAAGGTCTTTTAAAAAAGCGTATTCTAGGGGCCAGGGATTTAGCTTAGAGATTCCACTGTCTGCCTTGCAAGTGGAAGGTTCTGACTTCGATCCGTGGTACCAAAAAAAAAAAGCATATTCTAATGGCTCATGTGAAAATGTGCTTAGGATTATTATTCATGTGCGTTACACCAGATAGAACCACAATTAGATACCATTCACCCGTCAGCGTGGTTAAATTATATGACTAACAATACCACTTTAAAAAGTTTGACAGGGCCTGGGGATTTAGCTCAGTGGTGCCGCCTGCTTGCAAGTGCAAAATTCGATCCCTGGAACCGCCCCCCCCCGCCAAAGTTTGGCTGCATTTGTGCCTGTTCTGTGACCTAACAGTTCTACTTCTAGGTGTACATACAAGAGAGGTAAAGCTTATGTCACCAGAAGACATGCTCAAGAAAGCATATAGCAGCTATAATCATAATAGCTCAAAATTAAGCAGTGACCAAACTGTCCATTAGTAGGAGAGTGAATGAGTAAATAAATTGTGGTGAAGATGTGCAGTGTAGTACTCTGTGGCAGGCAATAAAGAGTGGTGCACAAATGCAGCAGTGAGTAGGAGACTTATTGACATCGTGGGCAAAGTAAATGGGCACAAAAGAGACAGTCTGTCATTCTATTTATGTGACATCCGAGGGCAGCCAGACCTGAGCTGGGAAGGCATAGGGAGGAGAGTGGTGACTTAGAAGCACAAGTGAGGGCAGGAGTTGTTGACTGGAGGGATGAAGGACTCTACCTTAGTGACAAGTTCTGTATAAGCTGTTTGATCTCCTGTACTCTCCTGGTGAGGCGGTGATATGGGGAGGAGGTAAGCTGGAACTCTGTCTGTTCTCAGGGTTGGTTCAAGTCCAGGGTAGCATCGCTAGGCTACAGGTATGCGTAGGTCTCTTCATGGGTAAGGTCAGATGCAATTGTGTTTATCAGTTGTCCATACATGGGCACTCTGCTATCGTGAGGAAACTCTTCCTGTGTTGCTCCTTCCCTTGTGGCTGGAGCAGTAGTGGTAACCGTAATGAAGATAGGCCCATTGCAGGCTCCTATGTAATGCTGTTCCATATGAGTTAGGGGTGCCAGTATACTCTTGAGATCCCTGGGTAGTGCAGTTGGTTGTGAGGGAGCAAGTTGGATCTTTCAGTTTCTAGAATGCCCTTGATTTGAAGAAGCAGTAATAGTCTTACTACATTGTAGTGAACAAAAAGCCCATTCTGCAGCTTCTTCATGCTACTTGAATGACTAAAGGCAAAAGATTATCTTTTATACTATTTATCATCTTTTACTATCATATCATGCATAAGCATGTCTTGCAAAAATTCTTGGCAGTATAGTAAAAGCTGACCAGAGTTCTCACTTTTGATTTTAATCTGTGCTTAAGACTTTCGTATTTTTATAAAAATGTACATATTTTCCTCCATGTTGGTGTTTCATATGTGAAAAATGATACATTTTTAATGTTTGGATTAAACATCTCATTTCCTTACAGTTCATCATTTAGGCTCTAATAGTTCTGCTGACTTACAGTTCCTAGGTATCCAGTAGAACATTTTGGATTTGCTGTGTTTGGCACAGGAGCCTTTCATGATGTCCTTCATTCATATATAGTATAGTATAAAGAAAGAGCTCACATGAGGGCAAAGACTATGTAGAAAATCGTACCAAAAGAAACCTCAGGGGCTGGGAGATAAAATAGGTATGATTCTTGAAGGCGTAGGCATAGGCAAGGGCTTTCTGAACAGAACCCCAATGGCACAGGAAATAGTACCAAGAATCAAGAAATGAAATCATATCAAATTAAGAAGCTTCTGCACAGCAAAGGAAACAACCAACAGAGTGAAGAGATAAGCTACAAAATGGGAGAGAAATTTTGCCCTCTATTCCTCGGATAGAGGACTAGTATCTAGAATATGTAAAGAACTCAAAAAAATTAGACCCTGCAAAATAAAAGACCCAATAAAAAATGGGCAGTTGAAATCAATAGACACTTATTAGAAGTAGTACAAATGGCCAATAAATACATGAAAAAATGTTCAATATCATGGGCCATTAGAAAAATGCAAATTAAAACTACACTGAGATACCATCTTAGCCCAGAAAGAATGGCTATCATCAGAAAATCTAATAGTAACAAATGCTGGCAAGGATGTGGG